GTCGAATGATGAAGACGTTCCCTCCCCGAAATCATCACGCTCAAGAAGCCGAAGCGTTTCCGAGAAGAGTGATGTTCCGTCACCGAAGTCAGACAATGGATTAACGAAGGATACTGGTGCAAGAGTGAGTTCCTCTCTAATTCTTATGAATGCCTGTATTCAGAGTTGGTTACTTTTCACATTATTATAGCCTCAGAGTCCCTCCAATACATCTGACAACACGAAGCAGTTGGAGCCCTCAAGACGATCAAGGACGAGGGTAAGTTTTTGACGCGACAATTACACCTACCGAGTTTTTGAAATTCAAGGATCTTTTTATTTTGAGGGTATTTACGCACCCATTTGGTATAGATTTTCTTATTTTTGCTATGCGAGCCTGCAGTACTTTGCCATTGATGCAGTTCTCATTTTTGTAAAAGCAATTTCCACTAGTTCGCAAAGCGTGTATTTCATATATACATGGTTACATTGACACATATTTCGAGCAATACTTTGTCTGTTGCAACCACCTTGGCGCACCAGTAGGTAGCCTCAGGGTGTGGTTCACTAGGACAGAAAGCGACTTTTTCGCGTTTCGCAGCGCGAAACATTTTTCGCTGCAGGAACCTCAGGTCCACCGCTGATCATGAGTGGACCTGAGGTTCCCGCAGCGAAAAATGTTTCGCGCGCGAAACGCGAAAAAGTCGCTTTCTGTCCTAGTGAACCACACCCGATACCTTTGTGGCCACCCCTGAGTCAGCTGTGATCTGGCCACATATCGTTTATCTCAGGGCTCCTGTTGTATGTTCCCTAAAATTATGCCAATGTCCTAAGGAACCTGTTGCATAACATCACCCGCGTTAAATGCCCTTGATAATTACTGTCTTGCTTCCCCCTGAGTTGACCAACGAATTAAATAAATAACTTAAAATCATCGCATTCCAAAAATAACTTCAATATACTTCGATAATATTTGAATACGACCTTCTCTTGCTCTTTCTGTTTCGTCTCGAAAGTTTTTCCCATAACATAGCTACGTTGCAGTCACGCAGTCGCTCTCCAAAACCGAAAACAAGAAGAAGATCGGAGTCCCCAAGACGAAGCAGAACACGGGTGGGTCATTACATTAGAGAAACTATTTGTGATTATGACCGACAAGAGCGAAGTGAGCTGAGATGTATTCGCCTTCTTCTAAGGTTAACAAAGTGTGGGGATCTCATCAAGGATGCGACGAAAAACCAAAACAATGAATGACTAGTTTTGGAAATAATTTGAAACGGTTACCCAAATTCATGGAACTAAAACACTGAGACTATTGTTCTGAGTTAGTGTTCTGATAAGCCAGCTTATTCAGTGTTAGAGGAGAAATCTATCAAAACTGCGTTACAAGAATTAATGAACTTGTTCGTTAAAACATGTGATACATTGTGTAAAAAAAACTGTGTATCTACAATCATTCACGTATTGCTGAGGGCGCTACCAAGGGGGGGGGGCATCTAAAAGTTTTCAATTTATTTGTTGCCAGATTTTTATGCCGCATCTTTGCAAATGTAAGTTTTTCTTCTTAGAAAATAGCTATCCAGTCGTAAATGGGAAATCACCCTTTACTCGTAATACGAATTGAATGACAAATCAATTTGTAAGAGGAAACAAGTCAATTTGAACATTTTTATGTCTAGGTAAACAGTCATCTCACATCGCTTCTGAAGGGTGCGAGCCCGCGCTTATGTTGAATCTCAAGCACTAGAAAGCCCAACATTGTCGGCTGTCGAGTCACAACTTTTTTGCCTTCGAAAGGGATTGACGAAGCTATTTCCTCGTTTTTCCTTTTGTTGGAAAGATATTATTTTACAGTCTATTTTTTGGTTGGACCTCACCAATCATGTACCCGATCATGACTGTCATAAATTATCAGATGTCGAAGATAAAAATCCTGCTAATTACAGTCCCGGAGTCGCAGTCCAAAGTCGACTCATAGAAGACGATCAAGAACACCGAAGCGGTCCCATGCAAAGGTGTGTTTTTTTTCTATACAAGGATATAGGAGAGCAGATAAGGTCACGTTCCTTCAACATTTGACGCTAATTCTTCATTGAATTGTGCACGGTATTTCCATCCCACCGTCGAAATCAGAGCACAGTACACGGGTACAGAATTCCGTAATATCCTTCTGCATGAACAAGTGCATAAGTTTTTGCGGCTTAGTAGGCGTTTTGAATTTGTCGGCGATAGCGGAAGGCTTCATATTCTGGTAAATGTGGAAGAAAAGTGCTTGCTTCGGTCTATAAAAAATCTTATTATCTCGCTCAAAAAAATAGGTTTGCTTCTCCTCTTTGCGCGACGTATAACAACTGATTTGAGCCAACGGAAGTGGTTTTTATGCCATTCATTCTCCGCTCCCCTCCCTGCAACTAGCACTGTTCTTTGTAGTGTTGAAATTCCTCTTTTGAAATAAGTTTTGACCGTTATTGGGCACGAAGGTGACGGCAACGTTTTTGAAGCCACCACCGCAATTCCGGCGGTTCCTACCTCTATATCTTACGAGGTTGTGTCGCTGCTCTGCTCAGTGGGACCCCTGTGCTCACGACTCTCTCTCTCTCTGCGAATCAAATGCCAGCTCCATTGTAGGCCCGTCGAATCACAGTTGACTCCGACCGTTTTTCTTCATCTTCTCGGTACCTTCTTTGCCTCTCCGTAGCCATTCGTTCAATCTGAATGATTCTCCCATCAGTTTTTGTTTTTATTTATCTTTCTGTCAACTCCTGCTGTGACCTCTTTCTTCGTTCTCCCTCTACAGTCTCTCGTTTTGCTAGCCCTGTGAGCCTATCTGCCACATTCTGTACTGTTCTTTTTCTTTCAACCTTTTAGCCTCTTTGATATTTTCTTTCTGTTTATAATGAAGCCACTCATATTATGGTTTGAAGGAAGCCAACCACTAAGTCAGTACATTACCGTTGCTCTGTTTTTGGTTTGGTTTGCAGTGGCGGTTGGAGGTCT